AGTTTTCCCTGCTCTTTGAACTTTATATAAATGGAACCATTTTGTTTGTTTTCTTTACTTGGCTGCTTTCACTCAGTGTCATTTTGTGAGATTCACCTGTGTTTGATGGAGCTGTAGTTTGTTCATTAGACATTGCTGAGTAATACTCTACTATGAATCTAACACAATTGTTGTATTCACTCCCCCTCTTTTTTTTGGAGACTGAGTTTCACTCTTTTCACCCAGGCTGGAGTGCAGTGGCTCGATCTTGGCTCACTGCAACCTCCACATCCCAGGTTCAAGCGATTCTCCTGCCTCAGCCTCCCGAGTAGCTGGGACTACAGGTGAGCACTACCACGTCCCACTAATTATTGTATTTCTAATAGAGATGGGGTTTCACCGTGTTGGCCAGGCTGATCTCAAACTCCTGACCTCAGGTAATATACCTGCCTTGGCCTCCCAAAGTGCAGGGATTAGATGTGAGCCACCATGTCCAGCCTTCACTCTCTTTCTGATGGATATTTGTCTCCAGCAATTATGAATACTGCTGCTATGAACATTTTTTCATATCTACAGTTTTACTTAGTAATGCCAGACTATTTTTCAAGGTGGCACTAGTTTAGATTCCTACCAACAATGTGTGAAAATTCCTGCTTATCCACCTCTTTATCAAGGCTTAGAATTGTCAATCTGTTAAATTTTATTAACCATTCTGGTAGGTACATAATGGGTTTTTGTGTGTAACTGAGGTGTATGTCATACACAATAAAATGTGAAAATATGCAGCCTAAAAGAACATTTTACATAAAAATTTATGTAACCGCTACCCATATGAAGATATAGAATATTTCCATCACCCCAGAAAGTTCTCTCATGCTCTTTTCCAGAAAGAAGCTGCTATTCTATCCACACTGTTTTGACTTTAGCCCCTATACATGTGTTTTGCTTGTTTTTGAACTTCACATAAATGAGCTCAGATGGTATGGACTCTACTGTGTCTGGCTTCTTTTGCCCAGCATAATGGTTTTTTGCAATATATCCAAGTTGTTGGTTACTCTTTTTTTCTTGCTGAGTTCTGGTGTATGATTATATTACATTTTGTTTATTCATTTTCTTATTGATTGTTTCTAGGTTTTGGATATTGTGAATTAAGTTGCTATCAACATCCTTATATATACTTACTTCTCTTGGGTATATATCTAGGAGTAGATTTCTGGGTCATGGGATAGGTGAGTCTTTAATGTTATTAGAAATGACAGAACAGTTTCCCAAAGTGGTTGTACTAATTAACACTTCACATTGGTTTTAATTAGCATTTCTCTGATTACTAATGAGGTTGAGCAGTCTTTTATATGTTTTGTTGTTGTTGTTATGGTTGTTGTTGTTTTGGCCATTTGTATATCTTCTGTTTGAAGAGTTCATTGAAGTCTTTTGCCTAATTTTTTTGTAGGTGTTCTTTGTTTTATTGGTTTGTATAAGGGATAATATATTGATCCCCTCTTCTCCCTGCCCCATATCTTTGTTGCAGCTATCAATTACTAGTTAGTGGATAGCTTTTTTATTCTCTTAAAGATATCTCTTCAGTAACAGAAAAATTTTCAATTTTTGTTTTTAATGATTACAGATACATAATAACCATACATATTTATGGGGTAGATGTGATATTTTGATGCAAACATACAATGCATAATTATCAGATTAGGGTAGAGTACATCTTCACCATGTCAGCCAGGCAGGTTTTCAACTCCTGACCTCAAGTGATCCACTCACCTTGGCCTCCCAAAATGCTAGGATTACAGGCGTGAGCCACGAAGATCGCACCACTGCATTACACTCCAGCGTGGGTGACAGAGCGAGACTTCTCATCTCAAAAAAAAAAAAAAGAAAACAGACAACCTAGACATGGCAAAAACAGTGTAAAGAAAATTGGGACTCCAATGATAAGCTGGGAAAAAGTAGTTGCCATGCAGCGTGTTCAAAGGGCTAAGTTCCTTTATAAAGCAGGATCGCTTGCTGATAGAAAAGGCCAACAGCTCGGTAGACAAACGGGCACATTAGAGACAGTTCAAAGGAAAAACGAGCGGCTTTCATGATAAATGTATGAAATGATCCTCAGTTTCAGCTGTTATAAGAGAAAAGCAAATTAAAACTATACTGAAGGCATTTAAAAAATATCCAATTAGCCAAGATTAAGAAGTTTGATTAACTGTTGGCTAAGGTGTAGGAAAATAGATTTCCATCTATTAATTGTAAGATTCTAAACTCTATGGAGAGTAACTGAATAATTATTAAAATTTAAGAACGCACATACCTTGTGTAGTATAGATAAGTTTAGATAAGTTGTGATGTATTTACATAATGGGATACTATAAAGCAACGCCTGTAATCCCAGCACTTTGGGAGGCCGAGGCGGGTGGATCACAAGGTCAAGAGATCGAGATCATCCCGGTCAACATGGTGAAACCCCGTCTCTACTAAAAATACAAAAAATTAGCTGGGCATGGTAGCGCATGCCTGTAATCCCAGCTACTCAGGAGGCTGAGGCAGAAGAATTGCCTGAACCCAGGAGGCGGAGGTTGCAGTGAGCCGAGATCGCGCCATTGCACTCCAGCCTGGGCAACAAGAGCAAAACTCCGACTCAAAAAAAAAAAAAAAAAAAAGAATGAATTACAATTCACACAACATGAATGACTCACAAATATAATGCTAGGTGAAAGAGCCAAACACAGAAATATACTTTCAAAAAGAGACCAAATTGTTGTGTTAGAAGTCAGGATAGTAATACTTTTGGGAAGCTCACTGTATGTAGACATGAGGGGCTTTTGGAGGCTTATAATCTTTTTTTTTTTTGTCTGTGTTAGGTGGGATTATGTTGGGAAAATTTATTGAGCTATGAACTTAAGAATTATGTACAGTTCTGAATGTATGCTATACTTCAATACACATAATTATGTAAATAAAAACAGCATGTATACATGCAGTCACACATAAAGAATGCACATAACTTTTGTTTTAGCAGTTTTGTCCTTGGCATATAACATATATTTACACACACTCTTGCATATGTGGGGGTTAAAAATAGCATGAAGGTATTCATTTCTGTGTTTGTAAGCACAAATGTTCATACAAAACTTAATTACTCATAAGTAGGGAGCTGGTAAAATAATTGATATAGTCATGTAGTGAATTAGTAGCATCTCTTAAAAGGAGTAAGGCAGCTCGATATGAAGTAACTTAGTAAAGTCTCTAAGATACAGTAAATGAAAAGACCAAAGTGCATGAACAGTATGTGTAACATATGCTACTATTTGTATATGGGTGTGTTTTATCTCAAAAGGCATATATTTGCAAGCATATGTAGCTAGAATATATTTGGAAAGATGAGACTATATCCTAACACTGGCTGTCTCTGAGGAGTGGAACTCAGTGGCCAGAAGGCATAATTGGGTGATACTTTCTATACTAATTTGTGACTTAAATTTTTTTAAATTTTGAATTTTGATAAAATGCATATATCAAAACTTGTTACCTTAAACATTTTTAAGGGTATAGCTCAGTAGTGTTAAGTGCATTCATATTGTACTACCAGTCTCTAAAACTTTTTCATAGCCATTAAACAAGTGCTTAATACTTCTTCCTGCCCTCAGCAGTCACCATTCTACTTTCTGAGTCTATAAATTGGACTGCTCTAGATAGCTCATGCCAGTGGAATCAAATAGTATTTGTCTGTTTGTAACTGGTTTGTTTCACTTAGCACAATATTCTCAAGGTCCATACTACTTTGTGACTTTTGAATTCTGTTCATTGTTCATTTATTACCCATTTTCAAAAGAGCATTAAAGTAAAAAGACGTGACGTTATTGAGAGCTCATTAATTAGATAGTTAAAAGTTGATGGCTGGTGTGTCTTTTTCATTTCAACCAATATTAAATGCCAGTTTTGGCAGCAAAACAACTTTATGCCAAAGCACCATTTGAAGCTGCATTTATGATGTGTTTCTCCTTTTGTCATCTGTGGGTACCCCCAAAAGGCAGGCTGAAGTCCCCAGCCTCTTGACTCTGCTCAACAGTTTCCTACCTTGGCTTACCGTCCAACTTTGGCCTGCTCTTCCAAATCTACCTCTTTTCCCCAGGAACAAGCTGCTTCTTTCTATGCCAAGGGCATGGCTTCCTCCTTGCAGATTTTCCTCATATCTCTGATGTGGAAAAAGGGGGTTTTTCATCTGCTAGCTTTTTAGTGCACCTTTGAGATCATTATTCTGGAGCCCTCTACAATAACATTGTTTCTCATGGATTGAAATTCGTTATTTCCAGTAGGATTTTTGACTAGATGTGGGAAAAGAAGAACAAGTTGAAATCACTCTGAAGCTTATGGGAGGACTGGGTATCATTAACTGGTACAGAGGGAGAAAGACAGGCTCTAGGTGGAAGATATGTGACTTGTTTTTGAAAATCGTGGTGTAAGTTTCAGGCCTGTAAAATCAGCTGGAGTTACGGGCTAGAAATGGGGACTTAAAAAATAGGGGTGTGTGTGTGTGTGTGTGTGTGTGTGTGTGCGCGTGCGCGCACATGCATGTGCGCATGCATGTATTGAAAATACAGAAAAATAAAATGTGACCCATAAAGTAGGTCATGATTCTTAATACTTTAAGTGAATTAGCTTATGTTTTTTTTCCTCTGGTTGTATGTGTATGAAAATATTTATATAGCTAGCATGGTAGCTCACACCTTTAATCCTAGTGCTTTGGGAGGCTGAGGCCAGAGGATCACTTAAGGCCAGGAGTTTGAGACTGGCCTGGCCAATGGTGACACCTCATTTCTACTAAAAACACAAAAATTAGAGCAGGGCATGGTGGCATGTTCCTATAGTTCCAGCTACTCGGGAGGCTGAGGCATGAGAATTGCTTGAACTCTAGAGGCAGAATTTGCAGTGAGCCAAGACTGAGACGTTGAACTGCCTGGGTGACAGAAGAAGACTCTTCAAAAAAAAAAAAATATATATATATATATATACACACACACACACACACACACACACTTTAAAATGTAGAAATTATATTTCGTATTCACCTTGTTTCCCTCTCTGTGAATGAAGAAGTCCAAGGCCAGTTGCATAGTACTTCTGTTAAGAGATAGCACCAAAAGAGGTTATGAATGAATTTATGGGACTTGTTGAAATTTTACAGGGTGAGATCCTACACAGATGTAGAAGAAAATAAGGCAAGAATGGGATTTTGGAAACTTGCCTAAACTTTTATAAAACTTTCAGAATTCAGGAATCAGAAATCATAATCAAAGAGGTGGGAGTATTAAGAGTTTAGTGTTAAACTAAGAAGAGCCAAGACAAAAGGAGGAAAAATATCGTTGGTGTTACAAAGAGGTAGAGCTTGATGAAGACTAAGACTTTAGATGCTAAATTGAGGGCATAATGGCATGCATATTCTTGTAATCCCAGCACGTTGGGAGGCCTAGTTGGGAGGATGCCTGGAGCCCGGGAGTTTGAGGCTGCAGTGAGTTATGAGCCACTGCACTCCAGCTTGGGCAAGAGTGAGACCCTGTCTCAAAACAGCAACAACAAGATACAAAATTGAGAAACTATTACTTGAATATATATTTTCTCTAGCAGTGATGGAATAACAAAGACTGGATTTACCTTGCTATTTTAAGCAACTAGAAAACTGGACAATATGTGAAATAGCAACTTATAGGCATTGGGTGACAGGCAATGCAAGACTGTGGTCACGGAAAGGTGGGAAACAAACCTGCTGAGTTCCTCTGGTTGCTCCAGTTTATTATCTGGAGGTAGTTTTCAGGGTGCAGAGCAGGGATGGGGAACCCAAATAAAGCCTGGTGTCTTACTGAATTGAGAGGACAAGATGGGGATGGCTGGGGAGGAAAGATTACCATAATTTGTGAGGCAGAGTACCAGAGAGGTGGGAGTTGTACATAGAACTCCAAAGGCAGGTGGAGGAGTCTCCTGAAGTCAGGTTGAGTCCTGACCTACACATGCATGAGAGGCGAGCACCTGAGGCCAGAGAAAGAACCCCACTGGAAAGGAGCAGGCCAAACGATTCCTGGAAGTCACACAGAGCTGAGAATAGTCTGTGTTGCCGTTAGCCAGAGTATATACAAGGGCATCAAAAGGGCATGGCCTTCTGTAATGAGGCTAAGTTAGCCCTAAGTTAAAGGCTACTCTGGACCTACTCTAACAATGAAAAAGCAAGTCTTGGAAGATCCAGCCAATTCAAAGACTCTTACCTGTGTGTGAGAGCAAAGTCCAGTGCTATTTAAAGGAATATACAAAATCCAAAACACAAAATTCACAGTGTTAGGCATTCAATAAAATGACCAGGCATGCAAAAAAACAGGAAAATGTGACATAATCAGGAGAACAATCAACAGAACTAGATTTAGAAATGACAGAGATGATGGAATTAACAAAGACATGAAAACAGCAATTATAAATATGCTCTCAGTTCAAAAAAGTAGAGGAGATGGTTAACAAAATGGAAAGAGAACTGGAAGGTATATTTTTAAAAGACCCAAACAGAACATCTAGAGTTGGAAATGAATTTTTAAGTACAATGATGGCATTAACAGCAGTTAAGTCAGTGCACATCAGTGAACTTCAAAGAGAGCAACAGAATCTGTCCAAAATGAGAAGAGAAAGAAAATGGAAAAATTGACAGAGCATCAGTGACTATAACAAGGACAATTGTTAGAAATAGAAACAGTCTGACATATACGTAATCAAAGCCCCAGAAAAGAGGGAAAGGGGAGAACAGAAAAAAGATTGTAAAAAATAATGACCAGAAAATTTCCAAATTTGACAAACACTATAAGCCAACATATTTAAGAATCCCTAGAAGAATAACTATAAACGTAACCACACCAGGGCACATCATCATCACATTGTTGACAACCAATAATAATGAGAAAATCTTGAAAGCAGGCAGAGAAAAAATACACATCACATACAGAGTAACAGATAAGAATGACAGCAAACTTCTCGTCAGAAATTTAGCACATCAACATACAATGGAGAGACCTCCTGAAATTTTTTTTTTTTTTTTTTTTTTTTTTTCTCCCTGAGATGGAGCCTCACTTTGGCCCAGATTGGAGTGCAGTGGCATGATCTCAGCTCACTGCAATCTTTGCCTCCTAGGGTCAAGCAATTCTCCTGCCTCAGCCTGCTGAGTAGGTGAGATTACAAGTGCATGCCACCACACCTGGCTAATATTTTTGTATTTTTAGGAGAGATAGGGTTTCACTATGTTGGCCAGGCTGGTCTCAAACTCCTGACCTCATGATCTGCCTGCCTTGGCCTCCCAAATTGCTGGATTACAGGTGTGAGCCACTGCACCTGGCCTGGAGAGACATCTGTAAAGTACTTTCTTTAAAAGCCTACTGGGGCTGGGTGCAGTGGCCAACACCTGCAATGCCAGCAGTTTGGGAGGCTGAGGCAGGAGGACTGCTTGAGTCCAGGAGTTCAAGACCAGCCTGGGTGACATGGCAAAACCCCATCTCTACAAAGAATACAAAAAGTAGCCATGGTGGCACATGCCTGTGGTCCCAGCTCCTTGGGAGAGTGAGGTGAGAGGATTGCTTTAGCCCGAAAAGCAGAGGATGCAGTGAGCTGTAATTAAGCCACAGTGTACTTTAGCCTGGGTGACAGAGCAAGACCCTATCTCAAAAAACAAAAAGGCCTACTGGAACTTGTTGCCAGCAGACCTCCACAAGAAATGATGAAGTTGTTCAGGCAGGAGGCAAATGATTTAAAATGGAAATTTAGATGTTAACAAAGGAGTGAGAGGTGCTAACAATGGTAACTGTGGTAGTAAAAATAAGACAATTTTTTTTTCCTTTTTTAATCTCCTTAAAAGACTTGCATTGAAGGTGATTGCTAACAGGTACAAGATTTCCCTTTTTGCGTGATGGAAATGTTCTGCAGTTAGTGGCGATGGTTGCACAACATTGTGAATTAAAGAAATAGTGGCTTTAAAAATATAGTTGTTTAAAGCAAAAATAATAATGCATTATAAGTTTTATAACACATGGGAGTAAAAGACATGACAATAGCACAAAGAATGGAAGGGGATGGGAAGGGTATAAGAAACTATAAGAAACCTTAGTAAGGATTGACTGGTTGATTGATTGGTTTATGAGACAGTATCGCTTTGTTTCCCAGGCTGGAATGTGGTGGCATAATCCCTGCTCACTGCAACCTCTGCTTCCTGGGTTCAACAATTCTGCCTCAGCCTCCCCAAGTAGCTAGGATTTCAGGTATGTGCCGCCACACCCAGCTAATTTTTGTATTTTTAGTAGAGATGAAGTTTCACCATGAGGCTGGTCTCAAATTCCTGACCTCAGATGATCAACCTGACCTCAAGTGATCAGCCTTCCTCAGCCTCCCAAAGTGCTGGGATTGCAGGCGTGAGTTACCATGCCTGGCAGAAACATTAGTAAGGTTCTTAAGCTGTACATGAAGTGGAATTGTCAAATTTCCATCTAGAAAATTAAAACAATTTATGGTCCCACTTCAAATGTGTGGGAGTGCAAATTTAACCATATCCTTGTCCACGTGTGGTATTCATTTAAAAACATTGCCACCCAGATTTTTAAAAAACTTGATTACCCCAGATAACCAATCCTTACCATGCTTGAAGGATATTACTTTGTTTCTAAAATGTTTGAAATTCTATCAGAATCTCTTTGCCTTAAATTTGGCTAAAACATAAAATGTATATATTCATTTTTTTCCTTTCTCTTCTTGCCCTCTTTCTTCATAAGCATAGTTTTCTTCAGTCATTTCTTTGGTTAATATTTCAGCTTCATTTGTTCTAGAATGTGAATGTTTTGAAGACACATCCCATGTCTCTCTTATTCTCTCTTGTATCATGGTAGTATAATAGATACTCAATGCTCAATACATTTGTCAAAAAATGCTGTTTTCTTTCTATACACAGTATTGGTAAGGTTGATCTGTATATTTCTTTTTTTGGAGACAGAGTCTTGCTCTGTCACTCAGGCTGGAGTGCAGTGGCACAATCGACTCACTGCAACCTCTGCCTTCCAGGTTCAAGTGATTTTTCTGCCTCGGCCTCTCTAGTAGCTGGGATTACAGGCATTCACCACCATGCCCAGCCAGTTTTTTGTATCTTTAGTAGAGACGGGGTTTCACTATGTTGCCCAGGCTAGTCTCCAACTCCTGACCTTGTGATCTGCTCATCTCGGTCTCCCAAAGTGCTACAATTACAGACGTGAGCCACCGTGCTCAACCCAATCTGTATATTTCTAAAATTTTTTCTTTCATCTTGTTAATCTATTTTGTCCTTTTGATTTGAGTTGTGGGATAATTCATTAACTGATTTTTTTTATGTTACTAATTTTTGTTTGGTAATATTTCATCTGCTACTTATTGCTTCTTTTGCTGTTTTAAACTTGGCAAACCATGCTTTTCATCTCTGAAAATCTTTTCATCTCTGAAATCTTTCCTCAGATTATTCTCATTTCATTTTTAAAGATGCAAAATTTACTCAAACCTTGCATTTTATTTTCTTCAGCTTATACCAGATACTGTGAGACTGTCAAGTTTTTACATCTCTTTTTCAGCTCTAGGGCATTTAAACTTCAATATTCATGTGTTTAAAACCCGTTAGGACTGGGAAATAAAAGAAAATGGAGTACCCATTTCTTCCTTCAATCTAGCCACCTCACCACACAATTAAAATGTGGTATTGGGGCTGGACACAGTGGCTCACGACTGTCATACTAGCACTTTGAGAGGCTGAGATAGGTGGATCCTGTGACCCCAGAAGTTTGAGAACAGGCTGGGCAACATGGTGAAACCCCATATATACAAAAAATTATCCACACATGGTGGCTTGTGCCTGTGGCCCCAATACTCGGGAGGCTGAGGTGAGAGGACTGCTTGAGTTCAGGAGGATGAGGTTGCAGTGAGCTGTAATCGTACTCCAGCCTGGGTGACAGAGCAAGCCCCTGTCTCAAAAAAAAAAAGTATAAAATTTTTATTAGTATAAAGTTAGGTATGAGTTTTATTTGCAAAGATTACCATTTGGGAGTAATCTCTAGACATTTTTGACTTCCTAGCCTATTTTGTAAGACCCCCGAAGGTGGAGAACTGGTTCAGGAAAATAAGCAGAGCTTGAATACACGCTGCCATTTTTGAGAGGTACATGAACTCAGAACCCTAAAGAATTGGAGGGTTATATATATATATAAAATACGGAACGCTTCACGAATTTGCGTGTCATCCTTGCGCAGGGGCCATGCTAATCTTCTGTGTATCATTCCAATTTTAGTAGATGGGCTGCCAAAGCGAGCACAGAATTGGAGTTATTTCTTTCCTTGATTACACTTTGGAGTTTGGCCTTCGGGACAAAGAAATGAATGTGAGTTCTTCTCTAGGAGTCCAGTCTAATGCTAGACATACATGATAACAAGCACAGTCAGTGCGACAGAAATCAGTGGTGTGAAAGTAAAGGAGAAGAGATGCATAATTCATGGGTGATGTTTTCCACTGAGGGGCCAGCATGGGTTTTATGCAGAATGGAGGACATTTGAGATTTCATTTTGTGATCGTAGGAGACTGTAACCTGGGATGGGTGAAAAAAAATTACAAAGCAATGCTTATGCTCAGGTTGGAAACCTTAAATTTGTATGGGTGCTAATTATGGGTTTTTTCCTAGTAGGATTTACCACCCATATACAGGGTGGAAAATGAAACTACTGTATGTACTCAAAATAGGTGATTTGAAGGAAAATGGGACTGAGCAAAGTAGTGCTTTATAATAAGCCCCAGTTTTTCGGTATAAGACTGCTAGAGACTCATTACTTTTCACATTATAATGTGAAATTAATCATTAAAACCTTAAGTAAAAATAGACGTTTTTTGCCAGGTGCGGTGGCTCATTTCTGTAATCCCAGCACTTGGGGAGGCTGAGGCAGGTGGATCACTTGAGATCAGAAGTTCAAGACTAGCCTGCTTACCAACAGTGTGAAACCCTATCTCTACTAAAAATACAAAAATTAGCCCAGTGTCTTGGCTCATGCTTGTAATCCCAGCTACATAGGAGGCCAAGGCAGGAGGATCACTTGAACCCAGGAGACGGAGGTTGCAGTGAGCCAAGATCACACCACTGCACTCTAGCCTGGGAGACAGAGCAAGACTGAGTCCCCCCAAAAAACAAAAGAATACATGGTGTGTTTCAGCCTGGTGCACTTACTCTCCTTGTCCGAGCTCAAATTGTCTCCTTTTTAGCCTGCAGTACCACTTCTGCTTGGCTCTTGGGCCTTCTAACAATGCTGTTTATACTTAGTTTCTTTGTTGTCCAGTGTGACACAATGTTCTTGGCTTATCTTGCATATTTGCTGCGCAGCCACTTTTCCAAGAAGAATGTGAATGTTTAAAAAGAAAACAAGGTTTCAGTGCCCCAGTCACACCCCAAACCAGCTTAATCAGAATCTCTGGTGAGGATAGGGCCCAGATACAGACAGGGTCCTCAGATCGGAGTGCAGTGGTAGGCTCTCAGCTCACTGCAACCTCTGCCTCCTGGGTTCAAGTGATTCTCCTGCCTAAGCCTCCTGAGTAGCTGGGACTACAGTTGTGAGCCACCACTCTAATTTTTGCATTTTTAGTAGAAACAGGATTTTGCCATGTTGGCCAGGCTGGTCTCCAACTCCTGACCTCAAGTGATCCACCTGCCGTGGCCTCCCAAAGTGCTGGGATTACAGGCATGAACCCGACACCCCGCCAGGATACAGTATTTTTTGAAAAGCATGCCCAGCCTTGGATGGAAAACCACTTGAGGAGAGTATGCTGCCTTATCAGGCTCTGTAAACACCTTATTTGTGCACAAGGCTGGGACTTTCAGTGGAGTCTTTGGCTAAAGCTCTCATTGCTACATGATGACCTTTCTTCCTCTCCTGCTTAAAGCTTGTGTTTCAGAATTTTGACCTGAATCCATCCATGTTGAAAGCCAGGCTTGGTCTGTCATCCCAGGATTCTGTGTCGGTCCATTTCCTTGCCTGTATGTTGAGTTAGGGCCCATCTTCGTGCCTTTGGGAAATAAGTTATTTGATAGCTTGCTTAGAGTCTCTCATTGCTTTCCCTTACCCTCAGAAGGAATACCAAAATATGTGACCTGCAGTGTAGACTGCGCACAGCCTTCAGTGTAGACTGGTCAGGCCCCCTCTTGGTTCCTGGAGTCTGCGTTGCTTCCCTCCACCACCGGGCCTTTGCACACACTGCCGTCTGCTGGGAATGCCTTGCCTTTCCTCATTACTTAGTTCTCCTCTACTCATCTTTCAGGTGCTAGCTTGACAGTCTTCCTCAGGGTAGCCTTCTCTGACCTTCGTGCACCGGATCAGCCCCCATGTGCTAATTTGGTCACATTGGTAATATTTCTCTACCTTCAGGACACATATCAAGGCCCAGAAGTCACAGTTTTGTATTTGTTCATGTGATCATTTGATGCATGTCTCTCTGGAGCCTGACTCTTCGGGGCTCACGTCCTTTCTCCAAAACTTCTAGCTGTGGGACCTTGAACAAATTATTTCTTCTTTGGTCCCCAGTTTCTTTTATCTGCAAAACAGAGATAATACTTTGACCTACCTTGTGAGGTGGGGATGAAGATTAAATAGGGTAATTTTTGTAAAGCACTTAGAGCTAGCTATTAATAGTAGAGAATGTTGACAGGTATTACTGATGATTACTGCAGTGGACCACAAGCTCCATACAGGCAGGGGTCATTTCGGTTTGTTTAGATTTGTATGCAGGGTGCTTAGCACGTGGACGGTGCTCAGGAAATATTTGTTGGATGAATGAATGAAGTGGAGATAGTAGTAATACCATGTTTATAAAATTCGATGAGGATATAAAATAATGCAAGTGTATAACTTCTTGGTAGCATGTCTAGCTCATAGCAGGTGGTCAATAAATATTCAATGACTCAATGAGGAAAATGGGGACAGTAGTAATACCAGCTTATGAGGCTGTTGTGGGGATCTAAGGTATCCCTGTAGTAACTTGTAGAGTGCCTAGCACATAGTAGGTGCTGAGAAGATACTTGAATGAATGAGTGAAGTTTGGATGATGGTAACACCAGGTCCTAGGACTGCTGTGGGAATAGAAAATAAGGCAGGTCGATAGTTTGTTGTATTGTGGTTGTGCCTGGTAGACACTCTGTTGAGTGAAACAGGAGAAGCTGCTATGAGTTTCTTTCTCCTGGCGCTTAAGAGAGAATCCTTTTGGGGTGCAGAATGGTATGGAGCAGACGCTGGTCCTCTTGAAGGAAGAATGGGCAGCTGACTACTGAGTAGTAGTCAGGTATTACTGAGGTATTACCAAGCTCTGGCCTAGATGAAAAGCTGAATCGTTCCTTTCTCTCTTCCTCCCTCACCTGTTCTTTCTTTTCACTAGAATCCTTGCCCAGAGTCCAGCACCTCCTTCCTGTCCAGGATCACCTTCTGTTGGATCACAGGATCTTGGTGGGCCCCCAAGACCTCAGGGAGGTGGTGGGGAATGAATGAATGAATGAACATGCTAAGCTCCCCCCTTCGACTTCTGTCTCCTTTGCTCTTCTGCAGAGTTGTCTTGACTCTGCCTGTGCTGGCCATGTGTTCTCAGAGACACCAACTCTGTCCTGCAAGTTTATCACCTTGAATGTGATAAACACATGAGCCAGGAGCAGCTTAAATCTCTGCAGAAGGCTTGGCCTGGGAAAGCCATACACTGGACTGCTCTTGCTTTAGCTTCTGATTTGGGTATTTTTATTTATTTCTTACCTAGACATCATGTTCAGTATGACAGATTTGGGTTTTTTAAATATTAGGTACAGTTATTACTGACACTGTTCCCCTTCCACTCTCTGCTCCTTAGAAAAATAACGCTGTCTCACCATAGGAAACGTGGGTTAAAAAAACACATGTGCAGATCTGTAGTAAGGAAACACCCAGAGGCAACCACTGTCATCATTATAGTATGCCTCCTTCTGGTCTTCTTTCTTTTCGAGACGGAGTCTCGCTCTGTCTCGCAGGCTAGAGTGCAGTAGCACAATCTCAGCTCACTACAACCACTGCCTCCTCAGTTTAAGCGCTTCTCCTGCCTCAGTCTCCCAGGTAGCTGAGATTACAGGCGTGCACCACCATGCCTGGCTAATTTTTGTATTTTTAGTAGAGACAGGGTTTTGCCATGTTGGCCAGGCTTGTCTGGAACTCCTGACCTCAGCTGATCCATCTGCATCAGCCTCCCAAAGTGCTGGGATTACAGGTGTGAATCACCATGCCCAGCCACCTTGTGGTTTTCTTTTTGTACATCTTTTTCTGCCCATTGTCAACATCTAATTGGGGATTCTTTGAGGAATCTTTTTCACCCTAATATGCATCATCTTTTTGGTTTTTTTGGAGACAGGTTTTTTCTCTGTCGCTGAGGCTGGAGTGCAGTGGCACAATTGTAGCTCACTGTAGTCTCGATCTACTGGGCTCAGGTGATGCTCCTGCCTCAGCCTCCTTAGTAGCTGGGACTATAGGCACGCTCCACCATGCCCAGATTTTTTTTTTTTTTTTTTTTTTTTCAGAGACAGGGTTTCACCATGTTGCCCAGGCTGGTCTCCAACTCCTCAGCTCAAGTGATTCTTCTGCCTCAGCCTCCCAGAGTGCTGGGATTATAGGAATGAGCCACCATGCCCAGTCTCATTCTTGTCTTTATGAACTTTTTGTAAACATCTTTTTAAAAGATTCGTTGTTTTAAATAATTTTTTCAAATTACTATTAAAGAGCATCACTGGGACAGTTGATGTAATTTGTATATGACTGGAGAACACCAGATGCATGCTAATAACATTCATTCTTGTTTTGGAAAATTGTCCTCTAGTTACATAAGAGCATGTCCTGGATTGTAAGTGGATACACTCCCAGTTTTTTGGGGGTAAAGATATGTAGAGCCTACATCTTAACTTTTTTCTTTTTTTTGTTTTTGTTTTGAGACAGAGTCTTGCTCTGTTGACCAGGCTGGAGTGCGGTGGCGTGATCTGCAGCCTCTGCCTCCTGGGGTTTAAGCGATTCTCTTGTCTCAGCCTCCTGAGTAGCTGGGATTACAGGCATGCACCACCACGCCTGGCTAACTTTTGTACTTTCAATAGACATGGGGTTTCACCATGTTAGCCAAGCTAGTCTCAAACTCCTGGACCTCAGGTGATCCATCCACTTCAGCCTCCCAAGGTGCTGGGATTACAGGTGTGAGCCACTGTGCTAGGCCTTTAACTGTTTGAATGGTTTAGGAAAAGATGATGTGTTTGCATGTGTATGTGAATGGATAGAGACAGAATGATACTGTAAACTTGGCAACATGTTAATAGTGGTGAATTGAGTGAATTCTTAGTATGATTTGAGTAATTTTTCTGAGTTTGAAATTATTTTAAAACAAAAAAATGGAAGTGTTTAACTTTTTATTATAAAAGTGTTCTATTGAAGTCCCAGTAACTCGGGAGGCCAAGGTGGGTGGATTACCTGAGGTCAGGACTTTGAGACCAGCCTGGCCCATGTGGTGAAAAAATACACTTTCTCCACTAAAAATACAAAAGTTAGCCAGGCATGGTGGTAGGTGCCTATAATCCCAGCTACTTGGGAGGTTGAGGCCGGAGAATCACTTGAACTAGGAGGCAGAGATTACAGTGAGCCAAGATCATACCACTGTACTCCAGCCTGGGTAGAGTCACATAGAAAGACTAATATAATAAAACACAGTAAGCTTATCACCCAGATTTCACAATTGCTAATGCTTTGTCATGTCAGCCTTTCCCCCCCAACCTTTTTTTTTTTTTTTTAATTCTTTTTATAGGGTCTGGCTCTGTGGACCAGGCTGGATTGCACTGACACAATCACGGCTCCCTGCAGTCTCCACCTCCTGGCCACGAGCAATCCTTTCAAGTCGCTGGGACTACAAGTGTGAGCCATCATGACTGGGCAACTTTTTTTATTTTTACTTTTTATAGAGATAGTCAACCTATGTTGCTCAGGCTGGTCTTGAACTCGTGGGCTCACAAAGTCCTCCCACCTTAGCCTCCCAAAGTGCTAGGATTATAGGCATCAGCTACTGGGCCTGGCCCATATTAATGTTTTTAAATGTAAAATTTTAAAAAGTTGGCAGGGCATGGTGGCTCATGGCTATAATCCCAACACTTTGTGAGGCCAAGGTGGAAGGATTGCTTGAGCCCAGGAGCTCAAGAACAGCTTGGGAAACAGAGAGAGACTCTGTCTCTACAAAAAAAAAAAAAAAAATTAGCCAGTCATAATAGGTCACACCTGAAGTCCCAGCTACTTGGGAGGCTGAGGTGGGGGGAGAGCTCTAGGCCAGGAACTGGAGGCTGTGGGGAGCCTTGATCGTGCCACTGTACTTCATCCTGAGTGACACAAGGAGGCTCACCAAATAAAGGACTGAGGCTGAGCATGGTGGCTCATGCCTGTAAATCCCAGCATTTTGGGAGGCCAAGGCAGGTGGATTGCCTGAGCTCAGGAGTTTGAGACCAGCCTGGGCAACACGGTGAAACCCCGACTCTACTAAAATACAAAAAATTAGCCAGGCGTGGTTGCACACACCTGTCGTCCCAGATTTGAGAAGCTGAGGCAGGAGAATTGCTTGAACCTGGGAGGCAGAGGTTATAGTGAGCTGAGAACATGCTACTGCATTCCAACCTGGGAGACATAGCAAGACTCCTCAAAACAACAAAACGTAAATGAATGAACGATAAAAAAGAGTGAATTACTGCCATCTTGATATTTCCCTCCTAATCATTTTTCCCTAAATCTTTTGTATGCACCCCCCAAAAGAAAGCCCTTTTTTCCTGCATGACCCAACAGAATGAGCTGTAATAACCTTGTAATATGTGCGGATGTCTATCCACATTCAGACATCCCTAGCTGTGTGGCTGCCTTCGTTCACAGCGGGCAGTTGTGCTGGAGAGGGGCGCAGCTTCGGCATTCGTGTGGAGTGAGCCCCGTCCTCCTCCTGTCATTGAGTCTCATTGCCTAACCCCCTTGTGTCTTGGACTCAGGTTGATGGTCCAGTGCTATCACCAGCCCCTGGAGAGCAATGGCCCCTGGTCTTTAAACGAAGAGGACACGTCAGAACAAGTCGTGCCTGTTTTGGTAAAGAACTGAAAGAAGGAATGTGTTACGTCTAGAAAGTAAGTGTGAGTTTCCTTGTCCTCCAGGATGCCCCGGTTCTCTACTTCCCACCCGTGGGCTGAATCCAGGCTGTGGCCCTGGCAATGTTACAAGTTTTGGGGCTCTTGCTTCTCCTCCAGGCCTCAGTTTGCTTTTCTGCCAAATGGGGTAAAATCTCACAAGTCATTAAGGCAACTGGGTAAAAAAAGAATAGAGAAGCTGGGCAAAAGCTTTCTTAAAAAAAAAAAATCAATACAAGAAGTTTATGGGTGAGAAAGTTGATTCCTGTTCACCCCGTTCCTCTTCCCACAGAGAGGCCCCATTAGCATTCAGGTGTATTTCCCTCTCCAGCACTTTGCTGTGTGGATTCCCATATAACCCCATACATTTGTTTCCTTGTTTCTTTTTCTTTTAACATAAGTGGGGTCAACGTGTTATTCTGTGAGGCCTCACTTTTTCTTTAACCCTGAGGCATCTTCGCATCCATGTATAATGACAAGAATAAAAGTGAGTTACCCTGGCTGCCTATATAGTCACTGCCTATAAGGGCTGCTGTAAGACTCAGATGAGATCATAGGTCTCAAGTGCTGAGCAGAGCAACTTGCATGAGTTGCATTGTAAGCACTCAATAATAACACTTATTTTTTGGATGGGTGCTGTGACACGTCTATAATCCCAGCACTTTTTGGAGACCAGTGTAGGTGGATCACTTGAGCAGAGGAGTTCAAGACCATCCTGGGCAACATGGTGAGAGCTCATCTCTACAAAATAAAAAATAACACTGTGTGTGTGTTTTTTTGTTTTTGTTTTTTTATAGACAGACTCTCACTCTGTCACCCAGGCTGGAGTGCAGTGGCATGATCTTGGCTCACTGCAAACTCTGCTTCCTGGGTTCTAATGATCCTCCTGCCTCAGCCTACTGAGTAGCTGGGATTACAGGCTTCTGCCACCATATCCAACTAATTTTTGCATTTTTAGTAGAGACAGGGTTTCACCATGTTGGTCAGACTGGTCTTGAACCCCTGACCTCAAGTGATCGCCCTGCCTCTGCCTCCCAAACTGCTGGGGTTACAGGCATGGGCCACCATGCCCGGAAACACTTATTTTATAGCACATCCACAAAAGGGCTGAATGTCTTGCCTAAAAGGTGCCTGGTATTTTCTAGTTACATGCCCTCTGCCGTACCCCTGAGCTTGGCCATGTGCTCTCCAGCCTGGTTCCCCACCTGTGTGTGCTCTGGAGGGATGTGCGTTCTCTCAGCCTAAAACTACTGAACCTGGCCCACACCACATCCAGCTGTGGACCTCAGGAAATGAACTGGACTGCTTTTCAGCAGCACAGTTGTGTGTCCCTCAGCAAGCTACCTCCCCTCTCTGTGTCTCAGTCCCCTTGCGTGTATATTGGGGATAAGTGAATGACCCTCCATGTGGGATTACTGTGAGGATGATGAGGCACTGTGATACAGTCCCTGCCTTTATGCTTGCTTTCCTGCAGGGGTGGGCAGCTAGGGTAACTCATTTTTATTCTTGTGCCTGTCCAGAGAAGACCACTCATTTCATTGAGTCCATCCATATTTATTTTTTTAATTTTTTAAAATCAAA